CAGACAGACAGACAGAGAGAGAGAGAGAGAGAGAGAGGCAGACAGACAGACAGATAGATAGATAGATAGAGAGCGAGAGAGAGGCAGACAGACAGACAGACAGACAGACAGACAGATAGATAGATACACAGATGACAGACAGACAGACAGACAGATGATAGATAGATAGATAGATAGATAGATAGATAGATATCGTTTACCAAAAAAACTTTTGCATTTGTTCACAAAAAACAAAATTCTCGCTACATATTCACCTGAGAATATTTCCCTGAGAAACTCTCCATTCACGCACAAAAGGTTTTGCTAGAGAACGAAATACTGAAATATAATTGTTCCTCAGTTCTCTTTTTTCTTTCATCACCAGATCATCAGAGGCTCGGTGGATTTCCAAATGTGTTGTAACATGTCTTATTATGATGAGATATAATTTCGCAACAATTCTAACAGATTTCCAAGAAAGGACAAACTTACAACCACAGGAATGAGCGCGACTCAAAAGAATCGGAACCATCGCACACGTTCACCCGTTTCCACACGGAACTGTTATTGTGTGTGACGCGTTAACGCTGCGTTACTGCCACTACATGCGAATTATGATCAGTCCCAAACTTTCAGACAGTCATCGATTATTGGATATTTACAGTATTTCGTATACTTTTTAGGTAAGTACAAAATGCACGACAGAGCTGTCCTGTTTTTGCGTTTATCGGCATCTTGGTTGCAGCTGCAAGCAGCACGTCTGCGCACTTTATTTTAGCGACGCTATTTAGATGTTATTTAGACTTTTATGCATCAACTAAAAATTTAAATTATGCATAGTTTGTTTTAATGTGAAAGTATTTATGTAATCAATCATACATTTTAGATATTTTCGTATTATTTTTTTTTAAATGCCACCGGGTTAAAATGGCGTCTCGGGGTTTAATCTGCTGTGATTAATGGTTGTTCATTGTGTCAGTTTGTTAAACCGAGTGTGAATGTTTTATGTGCTGTAATTAAATGGGTTTTCACGCAGATTATGAATTTCTTCCGCAACCGTCTGGTGGTTTTGGGGCTGGTGTTGCTGGCCACAGTGCTGCTGTATCTGCTGCTGCCCTCCATGAGGCAGGGGAGCATGGAGCCGTCTCTGGAGGTGCAGCAGCGGATGGGCCTGATCGCCGCCTCTCCTCCGCCGCCGCCGCCGCCAAACAGCGTCAACATCACGGTCAGGGCCGGACAGCTGCCCGGGGACCCGCCGCTCTTCTTCAGGGAGGCTCTGCCTGTGGACAGCGCTGGGCGACAGATAGTGCCCAGGTCAGGTTACTTCGTAATTTGAGTTTGATTCCATTATATAATGACTGTATTGGGAATAGATAGACATCAGTTTTGGCGCATTATTGGCACGTTCCAAATTTACATCATAAAGCTGTATAGAATTAAATCTGATTCGTTCTTCAGTTTGTACCCATTCAAAATCGAATTTACGTCTAGGGGCAAGGCATTGTACCAGCCCTTACAATAATTAACCATAGTTTTATTGTAGTAAAAGTGTAGTAACCATGTTTTTTTTGGCATATTGATTACCATTTGCATGACCACAGTATTACTACAAATACCACGGCTAAACTATGGGTAGTATTGCAAAACCATGGTTAAAGGGTTAGTTCACCCAAAAATGAAAATTCTGTCATTAATTACTCACCCTCATGTCGTTCCAAACCCATAAGACCTCTGTTCATCTTCGGAACACACATTAAAATATTTTTGATGTAATCTGAGAGTTATTTCTAATATTTTTGTTTTCTTTGCGCACAAAAAGTATTCTTGTAGCTTTGCAAAATTGAAGTTGAACCACTGATGTCACATGGACTGTTTTATCAATGTCTTTACTACGTTTGTGATTCTGGAAACATTTCAGTTGTATTGCTGTCTATGGAGGGTCAGAAAGCTCTCGGATTAAATAAAACATTTCTTCATTTGTGTTTCGAAGATGAATGTCTTACAGGTTTAGAACGACATGAGGGTGAGTAATTAATGACAGAATTTTCATTTTTGGGTGAACTAACCCTTTAATTTGTGGTTACAATGGTTTAAATATTAACAATGTTTTTTGGTTTTATTTGTAGTAAAACTTGGTAAAATGTTGTAAGGGAAAATACAACATTATAGCCTACATTTTAAAATGATCGAATAATCGTTTACTAATTTCTCTGCACAATTATATCCCATATCCACAATTATATCCCATCCCATATTGATTTAGAAAGATTTAACCTTGCATTCGCTTGCAGAACTTTTGCGTTCTCTCGCAAAATATTGCATTCCGAAGAAACTCTGCATTCGCGCGCAAATCTTTTGCCTTTTCTTGTAAAATATTGTGTTCACAGAGAAACTTTGCATTCTCTCGCAAAATATTGCGTTTCCCTGGCAATTTTGCCTTCGCTTGCACAACCTTGCAAAAACCTGCAAATATTGTCTAACCCTGAGAAACTTTGCATTCACTTGCAAAGCTTTTGTTTTCTCGCAAAATATTGCATTTTCCCAAGAAACTTTGCTTTCGCTTGCACAACTTTTTAATTCTCTCGTCAAATATCGTGTTTCCCCAAGAAACTTTGCGCTTACTTGCAGAACTTTTGTGTTCTCTTGCAAAATATTGTTCACAGATAAACTTTTGTTTTCTTGTAAAACTTTTAGTTTCTCTCAAAATATAGTTTTCCCCCGAGAAACTCGTGCCCTTTTTCTCGCACAACTTTTTTTATTCTCTCGTTTGATGTTGTGTTTAATGAGAAACCTTGCTTTTGCTTGTTACTTTTGGCTTCTCTTGCAAAATACTGTGTTCTCTTGCAAGATACTTTTGTGTTTTCTTGCAAAACATTGCGTTTCTCCGAGAAACCTTGCTTTCGCTCGCAGAATCAATTTACTTTAGTAATTTTGCAGAAGTAGACCTTTCGCCCTCACACGAAATTCCCAACTGTGTGGATTCGCACTGACTGGATTTCGCCTGCGAAAATTATTAGTATTAGTGCATTCTGGCTGGTTGCTAGGCAGTGACTAAGGTGTTCTGAATGTTGCTGGGGAATTTTGGCTGGTTGCTTGAAAGTTTTGATAGGTAGATGAACAGATAGACAATTTTAATGAAAACTATGGTAACTATGGTAATTTTTGAACTTACAAAATTCTGCATACAAGTATTATGACCTATTCTTATATAACTGTACAGATTCAGCAACTTTATCTCCTCTCCATCAGGCTGCAGTTGGTGCTTCTTCATGGTCAGGCCTTCACCTCTAAAACTTGGGAGGAGTTGGGCACCCTCAGCCTGCTGGCTTCCAATGGGTACCAGGCCCTCGCTCTCGACCTGCCCGGTACTTATAATTCACTTTATTAATGTTCTTAAAATGCTGATTTTTATATGTTCAAAACATATAAAGCAGATCACTAAATCGTCTTGTTTCTTGTCAGGTTTTGGGAATTCTCCGGACTCGGTAAAGTCGGATCAGAGCCGCGTGGACCTGCTGAAGCGTTTTCTGGAGTCTCTGGGCGTGCGAGCACCGGTGTTACTGAGCCCGTCTATGAGCGGCCATTATGCCCTGCCGTTCCTCCAGAAACACAGCGCCCAGCTGCACGGCTTTGTGCCCATCGCCCCCGTGGGCACCCGCGGCATCACGCCACAGCAGTACCGCGACATCCAGGTGTCATATTTCTTTTCGATTCTTCTCACACTTAAGAATTCCTTGATTTTAATGCTCAGTTTGAATTCTCACTTCTCATCTGTATGACAGACTCCTACACTGATCATATATGGAGAGTTAGACACCAATCTGGGCGCCCAATCCCATAAGAACCTGATTCAGCTGCCTCATCACACCGTGGTGAAGTTGGCAGGAGCGCGACATGCCTGTTACATGGACAAACCCCGTGAGTTCCACCGTGCTCTGCTCGACTTCCTAAGCAAACTCGAATGAGGGACAGAGAGAGTGAGAACGGGTCAAACAAACATGTGAAAAAGACTTTGGAAGAAACTGCGTGAAGAAAAAGACAAGAAAATGATGAACAGGACTGCGGTGTAGCTGTAAAACCAGTCCTGAAACGTAACACACACCTGAACGTTCTATCAGCCATCCACATCTGCTCACTCTTTATAATTTCCCTGCGCGCACCATCAAGAGATGAGATATTATAATACATCAAACTAACAAAACTTCTGCAGAGTTACTATAGTAACGCTTCTTTTGTAGATTGTAAACATCCTTTTATCAGTTTTGACACTGTTGCGTGTAATGGCCCGTCTGAGCGTTGTTACATTTTCCAGGCTGAGGGTTGTTCTGTAATGCTGTTCCCAGGATTTCCAGTCTGAGGAATGTTCCTGTAACAACACAATAGCCATGGTTTCCAGTCTGAGGGTTGTTCTGTAACGCTGTTGCCATGGTTTCTGGTCTAAGAGTTATTCCGTAACACTGTTGCCATGATATCCTTTTAGAGAGTTGTTCTGTAACGCTGTTGCCAGGGATGTTCCTGTAACACAATTGCCATGGTTTGCAGTCTGAGGGATGTTCTGTAATGCTGTTGCCATGGTTTCTGGTCTGACTGATGTTCCTGTAACATAATTACAATGGTTTTCTTTCTGAGAGTTGTTCTGTAACTCTGTTGCCAGGGATGTTCCTGTAACACAATTGCCATGGTTTCCAGTCTGAGGGATGTTCTGTAACGCTGTTACCATGGTTTCTGGTCTGACAGATGTTCCTGTAACATAATTACAATGGTTTTCTTTCTGAGAGTTGCTCTGTAACTCTGTTGCCAGGGATGTTCCTGTAACACAATTGCCATGGTTTCCAATATGAGAGTTATTCCATAATGCTGTTGCCATGGTTTCCGCTCTGACAGATGTTCCTGTAACACAGTTGCCATGGTTTCTTTTCTAAAAGATTTCTGTAACTCTGTTGCCAGGGATGTTCCTATAACACAATTGCCATGGTTTTCAATCTGCAAGTTATTCTGTAACGTTGTTGCCGTGGTTTCTGGCCTGACAGATGTTCTGTAATATAGTTGCCATGGTTTCCTTTCTAAGAGTTGTTCTGTAATGCTGTTGACAGGGATGTTCCTGTAGCACAATTGTCATGGTTTCCAATCTGAGAGATATTCCGTAATGCTGTTGCTATGGTTTCAGGTCTGACAAATTTTCCTGTAACATAGTTACCATGGTTTCCTTTCTGAGAGTTGCTCTGTAATTCTGTTGCCAGGGATGTTAGTGTAACATAATTGCCATGGTTTCCAATCTGAGTTATTCCATAAAGCTGTTGCCATGGTTTCTGATCTGACACATTTACCTGTAACATAGTTTCCAGTCTGAGAATTATTGTTTAATGTAATTGCCATAGTTTCCATTCTGAGAGTTGTTCTGTAATGGATTTGTCATGGTTTCTTATCTTTGGGTTGTTCCCGTAAAATGGTTGCCATGGTTTCCAACCTGAGAAATGTTCCTGTAACTAATTTGCCATGGTTTTCTTTCTGAGGGATGTTCCTGTAACACAATTGCCATGGTTTCCAGTCTGAGAGTTATTCTGTAATGCTGTTGCTATGGTTTACAGTCTGAAGCACGTTCCTGTAATTCAGTTGCCATGGCTTTCTTTCTGAGGGATGCACATTTAACACAATTGCCATGGTTTCCAGACTGACAGTTGTACCTATAACACAGTTGCCATGGTTTCTAGTCTGACAGTTGCTTTCAATAACATAGTTGCCATGGTTTCCATTCTGAGGATTGTTCTTGTAACACATGTGCCATGTTTTTTGGTCTTTGCTGTTCCTATAATACAAAATTCATGGTTTCCTCTATGAGGGTTGTTTTTCTAATACGATTGTCATGGTTTTCTGTAACAACAAGAGTCACATAATGCCAAAAATCAGTGTCATGACTGTCATAACCCTCGGATACACTTGACATGTAACTGAATTCATCAATCCTACAAGAACATCTCAGAGAAGAAAACGGCATTTCTCATTTTTGGCACGTATTGGTTTGCCGTATCATCATGTGAAATCATGCAGAGTGTTCACACCAGCAGTTGGCACATACATGCATAATGTAGCTTGTCAATGTGTGAATGGCTCAACACATGGTTTTAGAAGTGCAAAAATAAGAGAGATAAGTTGCAGTACTGGACGCCTGTCATGACTGTAAATTCAGTTTTTCGTTATTAGTAGTTGTCAGACTCATACTGGCAGTAGATTATTTCTTGCAATAAATAGAAAATTTCCTGAGATTGCAGAGAAAAAAAAGTGTTCATTACATTACCACATATTAAAATGGAGGTGTTCATTACATATTTATTATTTATTTCTTAAAGCTTCTACATGACAGAAACTGTAATGTGTGTGGTATTTATGTGCTGTGGTCTGTTGTTTTGTTTGTTTATAGGTTGTAAATATGAATATGTTTTAGAGGACTGTGAGGCACCTCTGCCCTGTAAATATTTCCAACATCACGAATCTTCAACCTGAAGGGATCTGTCATTGGGACTGAATTCAGATTCTGGTGTGCATGGTACTGCAGAGTCATGAAACATGCTTTTGTTCAGTGCAAAATAAAGTTCATTAACATTAATGTTTTGCATTTGTGATTTAATGGACATGCACCACAAGGGACATCAAGTTACAACCAAAAAATTGTAAGGGGTCTATATTGTAAGTTCAAGTGCACTAAATGAAGTCAGTTTATTTATCAAAATATGCAAATATGAACTAAACCACAAAATAAGTCAGTCTGTAAAATAAGTATAATGAACTATGCAAAAAGCATTTCAATCACTTTACTGAATATTAGCCGGATAATAAATAAATGAGTATTACCTAACAATCCATCTGTTTTCAAATCCACATCATATGAATATCAGGACATTAATGTCTGTCAAAAAATAATGTGCACAATACACAGCAGAACTTACGAGAAGCAGGAGTCCAAACACCTCCAGCATGTTTTATAATGCCCAAAAATCAAAATTACTTAGCCCTCACGCATGATATCTTGTCTGTCAAAAACTTAGGGTGGCTGTCAATTAGAATATTAGAACAAAAACATTAAAGGGGTCATATGATGCTGCTAAAAAGAACATTATTTTGTGTATTTGGTCGCAGGCATCAATCACTTCACTGAATACTTGCCGGATAATAGATAAATGATTATTTATTACCTAACAATCCATCTGTTTTCAAATCCACATCATATGAATATTATGACATTGATGTCTGTCAATGTCAAAATAATGTGCACAATACACAGTTGAACTTTTGAGAAGCAGGGGTCCAGGGAGTACACGCATTGCATGGAAATCCCACACTAACGGATGTTTTGACTAAAGCAGAAAATGGCAGTCTGAGTGGTTGTCTGTCATGTTGTCTGTCAGAGACCGTAACATACCTAATACATAATGCATGCGAGTATAAATTTGTTCTTGACTTGCTGAAATTGACAGGCATTTTTATAAAATGTAATTTTATCACTATCTTCTCAATTGTTTAAAAGATTAAGGCAATAATCAAAGTTTGACAAAATGTTGTATAGTTTTGCAATAAAAGATGATACATTTTAAAAAATGTGTTACATTTATTTACCTCTTTGCAGACTTTGAGCTATATATACACACATGTAATAGTAGTAATAGTGGTATAATTAGTATAATTATTATAATAGTATTATAATTATAGTATTATTATTATCATAGAGTCATTTCTGTGAACTTCAAAGAAAATAAAAAAGAGAAATGATCAAATAAAGTTTAAAAAGCTATAGGAAAAAGAAAAGTTAACATGGAAATGCTTATATAATAAATATAGACTTTAATACACTTTACTTTTTAAGAATACTGGAAAAAGCAAGAAGGTATTTTAATTACTCTTTAAACTCTTGCTTTGACCACGTGTGCGCACTGTGTGGGCGTGGCCAGGCGGAATCGAATGATGCTGACGTCATGACGCACACCATGCGTCTCTCTTCGGGAAGATGGCTGCTGTGTACATGATGCGAAACTGAATGGACGGAAAACAGCCCGAAATTTCTGAACATCCCCCCTCTTCCCTCCTCTGTATCCCACTCCACGTCCACACATATGCGTTTGCGTGAAAACGAAGCCGATTTTAACCTAGTGTGAAGAACTAGGATGATAATATGACCCAGAAAAAGAAGAAGCGAGTGAATCGCAGTTTGTTACTGGCGAAGAAGATCATCATCAAGGATGGAGGAACGGTGAGTGTCTGCTGGATTCAAACACAACAAACACTCACAAACATCTCAGATAAGAAAGTTGAAGTCTTAAATAGACGTATACAGAAGTATTATGTTAATGTTTGAAGCGAGCACACATTTGAAGAGTGTAACTGACATTCAAGGCTGTAAACATCAGCATTTACTTCCTGTAATGAGCAATAAATCACATCAGTACATCAATCTGAAAAATATAGGTGGTTTTATTAATGCACAGGGGGTTTGATGACACATTAGATAGGTTTAAAGCTGTTATTACTCATGGCTGTAAATATAATAAATTCTCCTGTTTGTAATCATACAAAACACATAGAGAAAAACTTTAAATATTTATATAACTTACTTTACTATTATGGTGACGTTCAAACAAAACAGTATAAACATTTATTAGTATTGCTAAACCTAGTTTTAACTTTTTTTATGGTAGTAAACCAGTACCGTGATAAATATCAAAGTACAATGTTATTATCATCTTATGTTATCATTATACTGCCGTAGTTTTGAGTTGGAAGAGTAGATATGCGAAACTTCATATCTGTGATTTGAGTATATAGTCTGTCAGACAACTCATAATAATCTTGTCTAAGTTTACAAGGTTCGGATATCTGAATGAATTTGTCATGAAATGTACCTCTTGAATGTCCTGAAAATAGTGTTATATACTTTATATTTATTCATTTGTTGAATTAGCTTTTAAATTTAAAATTCAGTACATAGTATTTGTAGTAATTTTGTTCTGTGCTTTTGTCATTTTTAATAGTTTTTGTGTAAAATTTTCAGCTTTAGTCATTTTTGTATTATATTTCAGTTAGTCCTCAATGCAACATTTCAAATTTTTTAAGTTTTAGTAATTGAGCTATGTGCTTCAGCTATTTTTACATTTCTATTTAGCTTTATTTCACTTTTTGTACTTCATCGTATTTCAGTTAACTGCCAAGGCAATATTTTACATTTTTGTTTAAGTTTTAATAATTTTCTTATGTGCTTTTTGTCATATTTATCTTGTTTTTTTATATATATATATATATATATACATTTTTTTAGCTTTATGATATCGGATGAGTGAAGCCTGGTGCTTTGACAGCTTTCATGACACGCAGTTACTCTGAAGCTGGCATTCAGACTGTTAAAGTGGAGCTCCGTTCAGTCAGACGAGCTTTTATGTTTCTTTCAGTCGTCTGTGTTGAAAATTAGATTTTACTCAGTTCGGTGAGAGCCTAGTCGATCACCAGAGGACTCGGACCATGTACAATACATTTATTTTTATTTCTCTTTAGTTTTAGTTATTTTAGTACTTCAGCTTATTTTACTTCGGTTGAATTTCCGTTTAAGTTTTTCATTTCATTTGACTTATTTTATCTCTATTTCGATTACTGAAAACGATTTTTTTATAGTTTCCATTAACAATAACAATTCTGCCTCAAAACAGCCATTTCTTTACAAATAAACCATTGATAATAAATATTATAATGGTCAGTAATTTGTCTAAAATGCTTTAAACTCAAATAAGCTCCTTCCATTTGTAAATGAGGTCAGTCCCATTGAGTCGCAGATCATTTGCTTTAAATTTTGATCTTCTCATCAGAAACGACTGGCTTTTTCCCATGACAGAAGCAGACATGTTATCAAATGGCGCTTTTCCACTGCGTGGTATGACTCGGCACGGCACGGTTTGCGTTTCCACTGCAGTTTAGTACCGCTTTAGAGTGGGCGGGATTATTCACATGTCGTTATAGTTGCGCCGCCTCTACTACCACGACTCCTAAAAAAACGTTTTAATTCCGCGTCGCCCCATCAAGCTCTCGCTGGATCCGCTCCTCTGCTATCAACGAGAGGAACGTCTGTTCTTCCACAACAGACAACAAAACTTTTTGGTTGTTAAAAAAAGGTGCGCTCGTTCAAAACAGTTGCGTTCGATCCTTCGCTGGCTGTGCTGATTTAAATCTAGCGGTTCTTTTGTGTTTGTGTCGCAAGTTCAGTGACGCAGGTAGTGACGATTCTCTCCGGCCAATCCGTGATCAGCAGAGTTTACACGTCACGTTTTGGTAACGGTACGGTTCACTTGGAACCCCAACCGAGGTGGTACTAAAAAAGGTACCAGGTACTGTACCCAGTGGAAAACCCCCAAAAAGTGAACCGTACCGAGCCGTACCGTGCCGTACCATGCAGTGGAAAAGCGCCAAAATGTCCTGCTCACTGGCTGTCATTGTAGGTTGTAATAGGGCTGAATTTGAACCTAGTTCCCCGGGTTCCTCTTTGGGTGTGTTTTATCTTGCCTGCAGCACAAAATAAGCCAGAATCAGCAGTGGTCGGCACTCAAAAAACAGGTGCATGAAAAGGTCACGAAAACATCTAATGCTCTATTTTGATAGATTAGGCCTCAAACAGTCCTGGGGGCTGTTCCATAAAACAAGTTTACCAAACAATCCAGGCTTATTTCAGTTAGTCTGACTTATTTTGAACCACATTAATTGACAATAAGTCAGACTAACTTAAATAAACCTGGCTTATTTGGTAAACTTGTTTTATGAAACAGGCCCTTGATCATGTCATCTCAGTGTCAAAACCAAAACAAAGCTTTAAAGGATGTGTAATAATACTGGTTTGTTTCTTCACCGTGGTTGATGTCTCTGGCTCTTCTCTCTCCAGCCTCAAGGCTTTGGCTCCCCCAGTGTTTATCATGCCGTCATCGTCATATTTCTGGAGTTCTTCGCTTGGGGTTTGCTGACTGCACCTACTTTGGGAGTAAGTTGTGGTTGTTTTTGTGTTAAATCGAGATATTATCTTCATATCAGGTGACGTTTATTTCATGTTACGGGTGTTAGAAACCCATTGTATGCCTCTGTTGTTATATTGCGTGATATGATCATGCAGTTCGAGATACCCTTGCATGGGCGTCATAACCGATGCTGTTTTGTGTCTCATGTGTCTGCAGGCTCTTCATGAAACATTCCCGAAACACACGTTTCTCATGAACGGCTTGGTTCAGGGGGTCAAGGTATCATCTGTAACATCATAATGTTTACGTCCTGATAATCCAGTTCATGATTCATTAACGCCGTGTTTTCGTTCGCAGGGCCTGCTGTCGTTTTTAAGCGCTCCTCTGATTGGTGCTCTGTCAGACGTGTGGGGAAGGAAGTCGTTTCTTTTACTCACCGTGTTCTTCACATGTGCACCAATTCCTTTATTGAAGATCAGCCCATGGTACATTGTGTTTCTTTTCTTTTTTTGGACACAAAATAAAAGATAATGTAGGTTTATTTTTATGAAATTTAGAATCTGAAATTTCAATTGAAAAGAAACGTCATTTTAATTTAATGTAAGTTTTATTTTGTTTTTAAATTTAATTTTTAATTTAATGTTTAAGTTTACGTGATTTGGATGTCTGAATGTATTTATGAAATGCATCTTTTGAATGCCCTGAAAAAAATATTTATTTAGTATTATTTATATACTATTATAATGTTTATTAATACTTTGAATTGGCTTTAATTTTTATATTTTCAGTCTCAACTTTTTAGTAGTTACATGCGTTTGTCATTTTTTGGATTAGTTTTTAATATATAAATGTAGGTTAAATTGATTTTAATTTAATAGATTTATTATTTAATAGATTTTATTGTCATTATTTTATTTTTGTTTTTATTATTTATATTATTTTAGTCCTTTCAGTATTTGATTTAATATTAATGTAATATTTAATGTGCCATTTTAATTCATCTTATATTTTAAAGAGTTATGTTTTGTTTTTGTCTTAATTTAAAAAGAAGCCAGTGAGATGTACACAAGTTATGAGTTTTCAAAAATATATATTATTTTCCGTGTCCATTGTATATTTTTTAATATTTTGAATTAGTTTTTAGTTTTCTGCATTTACAGTTTTAAATATTAATAGTTTAGTTGCGTGCTTTTGTCATTTAAAAATATTTCAATTATGTTTTATTTTTTATTTAATTATTTTAATTTTTTGTAATTTTAGTATTTAATTTAATATTAACCTATTTAATTTATCATTTTAATTAATCTTCATTTTTTTTAATGTATTATTTGTTTTTTTTCTTAATAAAAAAAAACAAATTAGATCTGCACAAAGTTGATTTATTTTTTATTTTTCGTATTATTTTCTGTGTCTAGTGTCAAAATAAAATTACAAATAAATAAATCTAAACCAAAATAAAAAAATAAATAATTATTATATAATATACTGATTATAATATTGATTAGAAGCTGATACAGATCATCTCAAAAATCCCAAATATCAGTCTCACCGATATATCGGTTTGTTTTTATTTTGTAATACACATGCACGTCTTAAATCCACATGCATGTTGTGTTTCAGGTGGTACTTTGCCGTTATCTCTGTATCTGGAGTGTTTGCCGTTACCTTCTCAGTTATATTCGCCTATGTTGCCGACATCACCCAAGAGCATGAGCGCATTATGGCTTACGGCATGGTACGTCTAACCCATCAACACGTCGTCATCATCTCTCTTTTTGCCGCTTTGTTTTGTATTAACGTCTCTGTTCTTCCTCCAAAAGGTGTCGGCCACGTTTGCGGCGAGTCTGGTGATCAGCCCGGCCATCGGCGCGTATCTGAGTCAGGTGTATGGAGACAGTCTGGTAGTAGTTCTAGCTTCGGCCATCGCTATGCTGGACATCTGCTTTATTCTGGTGGCCGTGCCCGAATCGCTGCCGGAAAAGATGAGACCGGCGTCCTGGGGTGCCCCAATCTCATGGGAACAAGCAGACCCCTTCGCTGTAAGTAGATTTGACCTTTTTGAGCTCGTTTAAAATGAATAATCTACCAAATAATCGGTTTTATTCAATTAACTGCATTGCTAATATAGTAACTCGAGCGTGAGTGTTGGCTGGAAATGTGCATTTTAAAAACAGAGGACGCCACTTTGCTCATATCCTGTGTGGTTTTCGGTAGAGAAGCGTTTTAACGCCCATTTCCCCTCGACAGCATAATGGAGTTTTCTGGACGAATGTCATATAAGGCTGTTTTCACACGTGGTTTGTTCTAAAGAGTTCCTCTGAAGTCTGTTAGAGTTTCCCATGAGATTATTCTAGTTTTGATTGGTTAATGCAGTCCTGCCAAACTTAGAAGTCACATTTTAAGGTTTGCTGTTGCGCATGTGGGCTCAAAGCACATAAACGAATGCGAAGCGAAAGATCTCAGATAGAGTTAGTACAGCATGTGTATGTACCTTTTAGGGTTTTTATGATTTTTTTTAATCTTCTAATAACATATACATATATAGAATTTTTAATTTTAATGTTAAAGTTTGCAAGGATATCTGAATGTATTTGTCGTGAAATGCTTCTCTTTTAATATTATTTATATACTGATAATATTTTATTATAATCTAATTTAATTCTAATTATTATAATCTTAGTAATTTTTATGTGCTTTTGTAAATTTTATTAGTTTTTGTGTAAATGTCTATTTTGCAATTTTATAACCTTTAGTTGTTCAATTTTGTATTAATTTATATATCTAAAATATTTATTAATAGTGTAGTCAAGTTTATTAATTATTTTTATATTAATTTTATGATGTAATAATTAATTGATTTTTTCATCTCAAACTGCATTAGTACAGCACATTGTGTGCAATATTTTTATAAATAGATAGTGTGTATAGTAAAATTCTAACCAAGAATGCAATTTTTTATGTTATTATATTTTATTGAGCAATGAACTAATAAATGACTGATATTAAAATAGTTGAAATTTGTAAATAAATTAAAAACGCTAAAAACTAAAACCAGTATTTTTAAATACATTGCATTTTAAAAGATTACTTTGACAGTGTTACGAAATTCTTAAGAATAATTTTAAATGCTAAATGTGTTAGATGTAAAAATATGAGTAAAATTCTGTTTCACAAATATCCAATAACCACATTACATTTAAAAAAATGTTTGATGCATGTCTTATATGTACACAGATTTTCTCTACAGTTGGATGGGTCAAGACTCATTGGTTCCGCTCAGCTAATTTTTTATAGGACCATTGATAAGAGTAACAAGATTGTAAAATTGCTGAGGTTTTATTCTCTGAAAAAAGTTTCATATCTGAAAGAATTGTTTGGTGAAATAAAACATTTCCTGAGTCAAAACAGAATAAAGTCGTAAAACTATTTGCAAGATTTAAACAGAACTGTTCATAGAGCTGTTGTTAAATCAAGAAGAGTGTTGCATTCACACACAGCTTGGTTATAGACGGCAATATCTTTCTCTCTGCAGTCTTTGAGGAAAGTAGGCCAGGACTCGACGGTTCTGCTCATCTGTATAACAGTGTTCCTGTCATATCTGCCTGAGGCTGGGCAATACTCCAGCTTCTTCCTCTATCTTCAACAGGTACGGCAAGGGAGAGATTTCATTTATCTCTGTGGTTAATCTTTAACTCGCTGTTTAATTAATTGTTTACTGGGTCAAGTCTGGTTTATCGAAATCCTGTTAGCAAACGGGACCGTAAAGATTGATTGTTTTATCCTCTTATGCAGATAATGGGATTTTCACCTGAAAGTGTCGCAGCTTTCATCGCTGTCCTAGGATTGCTGTCTATTGTTGCACAGGTCTGTATTTTCCTTTTAAATACATACTAATAAAGGACTTTACGTCATTAGTTTTTAATGTGGAGTATGTCAATTGTGGCTTTTTCCATCTACAGACTGTAGTATTAAGTTTACTAATGCGTTCCATCGGGAACAAGAACACGATTTTGCTGGGACTGGGATTTCAGATTCTGCAACTCGCCTGGTACGGGTTCGGATCGGAGCCTTGGTAAGACCGAAAGCCTAGGTTTTAATTTCTAAAATTGATAAAAATAAAGAGAAAAATTAAAAACAGGAATATTAACTATAGCTTTAAGAATAATGTAACAACTAACGAGTCTTTACTAATGAAATGTCCAACGCATCGTTTCCGATCTCCAGGATGATGTGGGCAGCTGGAGCTGTTGCTGCCATGTCTAGTATCACTTTCCCTGCTGTTAGCGCCCTGATTTCCCGCACAGCTGATCCCGATCAACAAGGTTGGTTTTCCTGAGTTATATGATGTTACAGATGCAGGGTTATTCTTTAAGGCTGACTGTAAAGCTCTTGTTTCTGTAGGTGTGGGTCAGGGTATGATTACGGGAATCCGTGGGCTGTGTAACGGCTTGGGTCCGGCTCTCTATGGTTTCATCTTCTACATCTTTCATGTCGAGTTGGACCAAGTTCCAGAGAAAGAACCGGATGTAACGCATCACCATGATCACCACCAACAGGTAAGTCACCGCACGTTGTTGAATTTAACTGAACCATGCTGTTTACTGACAATTTAGGTTTGTTTTAATGGATAAATTAGTTTTTAATAATAGACACTAAAGTTTTGTCAAAATGCTGAAAGCCGATGCCACTAAACATTGAAGTATAAAATATTTGCGAAGATTTTTCATGACATTGCATCATTTTTTGATAAAAAAAAATAAGCCTAGCTTAAAAACTCAGCCTAGCCTTTACAAGCCAAGCGGAAACAATTTGTTTTAAATCGTTCACAAAACCACTTGCTAGAATTGAAGCAGAGTAAGATTGTTGTTAATTGTTTGAAGAACTGTTCGTAAGAACGAGTAGATAAAATTTGTGTAAATTGTCCATAAAATTATAAAAAGTTGTTCGTAGAATTTTTTTAAAGTCTAGTAGAATATATTTAAAACTATTTACAAGAATTCGAACAGAATGAGTTTTTTTGGTAATTGTTCATAGATCTATTCGTAATAATCTGAGCAGAACCAGTTTGTGTAAACTTTGTAAAATTGCAGAATTTGTAAATTGCTCGTAGAACAATTCTTAAGAAATCAAAGCAGTGTAAATTTAAATGGGTCATAAAACTATTTGCAGGAATTTAAGCTGAACGAGTATGTTGGGAATTGTACGTAGAAGCATTCTTAAGAAATTGAGAGTTGGACCAAGTTCCAGAGAAAGAACCGGATGTAACGCATCACCATGATCACCACCAACAGGTAAGTCACCGCACGTTGTTGAATTTAACTGAACCATGCTGTTTACTGACAATTTAGGTTTGTTTTAATGGATAAATTAGTTTTTAATAATAGACACTAAAGTTTTGTCAAAATGCTGAAAGCCGATGCCACTAAACATTGAAGTATAAAATATTTGCGAAGATTTTTCATGACATTGCATCATTTTTTGATAAAAAAAAATAAGCCTAGCTTAAAAACTCAGCCTAGCCTTTACAAGCCAAGCGGAAACAATTTGTTTTAAATCGTTCACAAAACCACTTGCTAGAATTGAAGCAGAGTAAGATTGTTGTTAATTGTTTGAAGAACTGTTCGTAAGAACGAGTAGATAAAATTTGTGTAAATTGTCCATAAAATTATAAAAAGTTGTTCGTAGAATTTTTTTAAAGTCTAGTAGAATATATTTAAAACTATTTACAAGAATTCGAACAGAATGAGTTTTTTTGGTAATTGTTCATAGATCTATTCGTAATAATCTGAGCAGAACCAGTTTGTGTAAACTTTGTAAAATTGCAGAATTTGTAAATTGCTCGTAGAACAATTCTTAAGAAATCAAAGCAGTGTAAATTTAAATGGGTCATAAAACTATTTGCAGGAATTTAAGCTGAACGAGTATGTTGGGAATTGTACGTAGAAGCATTCTTAAGAAATTGAGCAGAACCAATTTGTATTCATACTACGTAAAATTGGAGAATTTTTGTTTTCTGAAAAAAGAAAAAAAATACCTGAAGGAATTTTTTGGTACCAATTTTGTAAATTGCTTGTAAAACAATTCTTAAGTGGAAGCAGAGTAAACTTGATTAGATTAAAACTATTTGCAAAAATTTAAGCAAGATGAGTTTGTTATTTGTTCGTAAAAACATTTGTAAAAATTTCAGCTGAGAACCAATTTTTGTAAAATGTTTGTAAAATTGCAGAACTTTTTTATTCGGTGAAAATGTTTGTAAGTGTTCGGTACCAATTTTTTAATTGCTTGTAAAACAATTCCAGGCAGAATTAATTTAAATCATTCTTAAAAATATATGCTAGAATTCAAACAGATCTAATGTGTGTAAATTGTTGGTAAAATTCCAGAATTTTTGGTATCCAAGCAATTCAAAACTCAGTCTAGCCCCTCCGTATGTAAAAATTAATTAATTATCACAGTACAATGTTTTTTCAGTAGGTTGAAAGAGTTTATAGAGATGCATTTTAAAAAGTCATTGCGTATAGTTTAGTTTCGAAAATTTGTATCTAAATAGGGCATCACTGTAGAGTTTTTGGAAAGGTTTTTGACTTTTGTGTTAATCGTGTTCCCGCGTCATGTGTTCCCCTTACAGAGTGCAATAATCCCGGGACCGCCATTCCTCTTCGGCGCATGTTCTGTGCTGCTGGCACTCCTGGTGGCACTTTTCATTCCTGAACACCCCCATATGGGTGCTCGTGCGGGCAGCTGGAAGAAGCACACATCACCCCACGGCCACCCGCACAGTCCCCACCCACCCGGAGAGGCCAAAGAGCCTCTCCTACAGGACACTAACGTGTGATTGGGAGTTTCAATGTGGCTGAATTGGCCACGCCCCCTATTCCCCATTGAGGAACGAACTGTGCATGGAGGCTGCTGTCATGTATTGAAACGTAAAGCTATATCGGAGGCATGGTCAGTCTTGCACCTAGAGCTCTACCTTTCTGCAGAGTTTCGTTTAATATGAAACTTATGAACTTGATAATTAAGGTTAATGGAAATTACAGACAGAAAGGAAAGTCTCCATGATTAAGACTGGGCGTCCCTGCTGAATCACCAATAGAGCACCACTTTTTAAAAGAAATGTATATAGAAGAACGTATATTTAACAATGGTTCTGTCCAAAGGCACTATTGCAATGGCTTGTATTTATTCTTTTTATTATTTGTTTTTTTTGCCTTTTTTCTTTCTTTTTTTGTTGCTCTGTTTTGACTGTCTAGATCTTCATTACCATAGTTCACTCAGGGACATTATCCGGGTCAGGAATGTTTCAGAACACAGTGTGTTACCCTTATCAGAAGGGCCTAGCGACGACATACAAATAACAAAATCCATTCATGAAACGCAAGCAGATTGAATTTGTGTAAATCGCTCGTGAAACTTTTTGTAAGAATTTACATTGAACAAACTTATGGAACTCATTCTTAAAACAATTTGAGTCGAAAAATGGTGTCAATCATTCCTTAAAACTTTTTGCAAGAATTCGCGGAGAACACATTTATGCAAGTCATTCGTTAGCCGTTCGTAAGAATATCAGCTAAAAAGCATTTGTGTGAATTGTTCATAAAATTGCTTTCAAATTTTTGAGTGGAACGAATGTAGGTAAAGCATTCACAAAACTGTTTACTAGATTAAGTAGAACAAATTTGAGTAACTCATTTGTAAAACCAATCATAAGAATTTGAGTCAAAAAATGGTGTAAATCTTTTCCTAAAACTATTTCCAAGGATTTGCCTAGAACAAAGTTATGCAAGTCATTTGCAAAAGTTTCGAATTGTGTTTGGGTTAATCGTTCGTAAAATTACTTGTGAGGTTTTGATTGGAACGAATTTGCATAACTCGTTCGTAAAACCATTCATAATAATTTGAGATGGAAAAAATGGTTTATTTCATTTCCTACAACTATTTGCATGAATTTGTTCTACACAATTAATTTGGAAAATGACTTCGTAAAACCATATGTAAGAATTCGTGCTAAACAAATTTATGCAAATTGTTGGTAAAACTATTTACGAGACCAGAATTTTGAAGTAGAAATTGTTTATATAATTATAAGAATTTAAGCAGAGCAATTTTCGTAAATCATTCATAAAACTTTTGGTGAAAATCATGAAATATTTAGTTCTTTAGGCCCAGTGACCTTACTAAATATAGTGGTTTTGCTATAAATGTGCTGCGTTCATGAGATCACAAGTTTGTTAGGGAACATAACTTAATTTTATGGATTTCTAATGCTTTGACATGAATGGCCTTAACTGACAGTTCGGTTTCAGACGTCGACAAACGGACGTCGCAATGGAATGATTGTTGTACAGCTTCAAAGTTCCTTTTCGTTTTCTGCTCGTGTTCAAGCTGAAGCCTGTTTTCTTTATACCACTTAGAATCAATGGTGCCTTTTCCCAGCTTAAATTGTGTTGTTGATGGAAACTGGCGAATTTAAGTGACGCACGAGACTCGAGATCTGACCAGTGTCAGACTTACGCAACTGAATAGTCTTACGTAAAATAACGGTAGAGCTGACTCTAGATCAGTAGTGAAACTGAAATGCGTGACGCATCTTTTGTTTGTCTGGATTCGCTTTCGGCCTTGTGTAGAAACATTCTTTTATGAAAAATACGAATGTTTACGCAAAACACTTCGCATATGCCAGCTGACAGAAGTACATTGAGAAACAGGAGGTGAAATTTGCCAGTGGCCTTTCTATATATTTTTTTTCATAAAGACAGATGAATGGCTCATTTTAAGATTTGACATTTGACCAAATGTATGGATATTTTATTGACGCAAGATAGGCGAGTTAATCTGTAATATTAGTTGTGTGCTTTGGATATTTATGAGATGATTTCCTGTAAAATATTTCCTTCGTCTCAGAATACAGTGCGAGGTTTTTTTTAATGTTCTGTGGTTCTGTTGTGCCGTCTTCATTATAAATTTTAAACGGTGTATTTTTTTCCCCAAACAATGTAAATATGTCAAAGTATCTAAACATGCATTTCAATAAAATTTAAATATTTTGATGTATGTGCGATCATGTTGGTTGTTTTTATACGTTTAGCTAAATAAAAAGACGAACAATTTTTAAAACGGCATTAGATTTTATTTACGATTGTCCTAAAATTGAGCTACTGATGAACAAGCAGCCAAACTGCAATCCATGATAAACAGATTCCAAAATTTACTATAGTAAACCATAAATACAAAAATATAAATACACACAATTAATTATATACAGTTTTACACAGCAAACCACACACTGCTATTCATATCAAGAACTTGAATCCTTATATTAGCCTTAAATAAAATTGCCAATTACACGAATAGCACTATTTGAATACGAAATGGCAGCTCTCTTGAGTGTTTGGCAAAAGTTCATTCATTCAGAGGCAGTTCTTGTATGGCACAATCAAGTTTAAGACATTGAAAAGACATTTTATATGCACTACAGACTTGAAGGACCAAACCATAGCACCATTATTATTGATAAATTAGTCCCATGCTAATGCCAAAGTCTCAAACAATCAAGGAAACTCCTTGTAAACAATGGAAACCCGTTAAACCACAGAATAAAGGTAAAAAAACATAACGGTCTTTATAGTTCATCATTTTGACTTTTTTTCTTGTGATTCTGAGTTTATTTCACAATTCTGTTGTTTGCTTCCACTATGGAATGTAAAATAAAAATGTTACTGCGGCTTTAATCTCAGTTTTTACATCACAATTTTAAGATTAAATTTCACAATTTGGACTTCTCAGAATTGCAAGTAAAAGTCAGAATTGTGAGAAAAAACGCCTGTTCCTGCCACAGAAAAAAAGTAAATGATTAAAAAAAAAAATCTGACAATTTAGACCTCGTTTTCACAATTCTAAAAAAAAAGTCATAACAGCAAGATATAAACTGCAATTTTTCCACCCGCCTTTTTTCTCTCAAAATTGCAAGTTTACATCTCCAATTCTGCCTTTTTTTCCCTTTTTTTTTCCATTCTGTGGCAATAACTTGCTTCCATAGTAAACACGTTGAGAAATGGGTTTAAAAATAAATGTTTTAATAAATTATTGAAGACATTTTAAACAAACATGAATATCATCTGCATGGACACTTTGCAATGAATTCCCATCTTAGTAGTGGCCTTCTCACACACAACATAGTGATGAATAGAAGTGCATCTAAACTGCTGGGAAATACGCAGAAGCTGTTGGTTTTGCTCCAGCCGTGTTCAAAGGCTTAGGAACTTCTGTAGGTACAGATATTAAATGCTTAATAAAAAGGTCTAGAAATTAGGAATAAATGGGGAAAAAGAGTATTTGTGATTTGCCTCGGTTTAGATGCATGCTGGGTAGAAGGCCGCGGAGAGGAATGCTGTCATCTCGTCTCTCAAAGTACTTGGAGTCCAGATCAACACGTTCTCCGCTGTTGAGATCCGAGATATGATCACACCAAAGGCTTTATTACAGAGAACAGGAAGTAAATGGATTGAAAGAGGAACTCACTTCTCTTTATTGGAGGGCTGAAAGAGTGCAGTGGGACTCACGTCTGCTGCTGAAGGTTTGGCACTCGTAGGGTTAAACTGGACCTAAAAAGAATTCAACAGTGTTTTGTTGGACACATTCAGAAGCAGCGATTGTCACTGAAAAAGGCTTTGCTCACACTGACAGCTACAATCAGAGTCAACTGAGTTCAGGTTTTCGTAGCCGTATGTATGTGTATTTATTTTCAATTTTGAGAATTTATTTTTTTATATTTTCACAAAATGATGGTGAAATTTTTTTATAATTGTATGTTTGGAAACCTTTTAGGGGAAAAGTTCACAATTCACAAAAGTATAGTAAAATGTATAAAAAAATTTTTTTTGGAAAATGTGATTTTTTTTTTGGATAAATTATGGTGAAAATGTTATAGAAATTATATGTTTGAAAAATGTAGAAAAAAAATCTATATATTTAAACAATTGTTTTGTACAAAATTATGATGAAAATACATTTTATAAAAAATGTTTTTTTGGAAAATTTCGAGGGGGAAAATTGGATGTTTTCACAAAATTATGGTGAACACGTTATTAATATTGTTAAAAAAAAAAAAAAAACCAATAGTTTCATAAAAATGTGTTGAAAATGTTATAACTACTTTTGGAAAATATGTGTAGGGGATATTTTCACAAAATTATTATTTTTTTAAATACAAATTTGGGGGAAAATGTTTAATATTTTCACAAAACTGGTGAAAGATGTTATAAAAAATTTATTTTTATAAAACATACAAAAACAAATTTTTTTTTCTATTTTCAGAAACATTGTAGTAATGTAATAAAAAATTATGTTTATAAAATTTGGAAAATATATATATTTTTTATATTTTCACTAAATTATTTTTTTTAAATGTTTTGGAAAATTTAAAATTTTTTTATTGTTATTTTTAAGTATGGTAAATTTTATGGTAAAATGTCAATTTTTCCACAAATGCACATTTTCAAAAATATATATTTTTTGGAAATTCAGTCTGAAATATTTTCTCAAGTAGATTTTTGGGGCGCTACATGTATTAATCATCATTGTTCAGCACCAGAGCGAGACGCCATAATCGACATTCGCAGCCAAAACCATCTGCTCCTGCCACAATCGACTGTCTAGAATACTATGGTTAAGTGCCAAAAATGTTATTATAGCAACTAGTGTTGTCAAAAGACCCGGTATTTCGGTACCAAGTCGTAGATGTTTTTCAGTGGCAGCAGAACTATGAAACTTGTTTACTTGTTTCATACTTTTATTACTTGTGGAAAAACTTGAAACAATTTTAAATAAGTATAAAGAATGGCATTGGTTTTGTACATTTAATTTTTGTTTAACGTTATTAATAAAAATGTTGTTCAATTAGCATGTTTTTGTGTTTTGCTTTGGTACCGAAATTGGTACCGAGAACCGTGGATTTTCACTGGTATTGGTACCGAATACTGAAATTTTGGTACCGTGACAACACTAATAGCAACTGCGGTAAATAAAACACTACAAATCGAATCAATCCAAGCATTAGCAAAAAATAAATAAAAAATAAAAATAAAACCTAAAAAAAAAAAAAAGTGGACATACCGTGCTTAAGTTTGGAAAAACAAATCAGAAAGAATTGTGTACAGTGTGAGCAGAGAATATAATAATAAAAAAACCTAATAAATGTAGGGAAATAAAGATGGCATAGAGAAAAGGAGAGGAGATGAGGCCTGCCTTTGGTCCAGACGTCTGATTGTGTGCTGACAGGACAGAGCGAGGTCCTGAGCTCACACAGGAAAGAGAAAGAGGATATTTGGAGTTTATTGTAGAGGTGATGGGGAAACCCTGTCCCAAAGACGAGGGGAAACCTTTGCTATCAAGCTAGAGAAGACAAGAACAGCTACATCATTTCAAAAGACCAGTCCAATCTCACATGCAAACAATCAAACTGATAGTTACTGCTTGATTTCCTGCTACATCTACAGACAACAACCTGCTTGGCGGATTTTATGCTAGACTTTAAGTGACAGCAGTTAATTACCATATTGTGAGGAACACTTCCTGTTCTCAGACCTGCGGCAGGAGTCTCGAACATTCCTAAAGTTTCCTGCTTCCGAGAGAGCTGGTTCTCATTCAGCTGCTTGTTCAGCCAAGTTATTACTGAAGAATACCATGTTAAAATTAAAAATATGATTTTAATGCGATATATGTGTGTGTGTGTGTGTGTGTGTGTGTGTGTGTGTAAAACTAAAAAAAGTCATAAATATTATAGAAAAGCTAGAACACAGACATAAATGATGTTAATTATGTTAATTATGCCAAGTCTATAAAGTTCATAGATGGAAAAAATTAGTACCCAAAAATAAATAGAAATAAATAATACCCAAAAAGTAAGCAATAAAAACAGAAATAAATAGAATTATAAATAAATAAATAAAATGATAAAAAAACAAAAAGCTACAAAACACACACACATGTAATGCTAATTATGTAAAAAAAATCAATTAATAAAATATAAATAAATAGAATGTAAATATAGAAAAATAAACATCACCATCAAGAATCTTGATTAAAAAAAAACAAAACAAAACAAAAATAAAAACAAAAATAAATAAAATAAACAATTAGAAAAATTAATATGAATCTAAATAAAGATAAAAACAAAAAGATAAATAAAAAGTTACAGTAAATAAATACAGCAAATGCACAAAAAGGCAAAATTACCTGAATAAATCAAAGTCCTCACCGTTCTCATTGGTTTTTAACACTTCCCTGCTCTCGTCCAGTTTCTGAACTGTCGCGTCTAATTGTTCGTTTAATTTCATTACCTAAAGCAAAAGAAAATATTGATACTAAGATAAAAAGAACTGTTCATCAAGCAGGCATTAGTTGGCAGCACACGGTACCTCTTCCTCTTTCTGTCGGAGCCGTTGTTGGGCGTCCTGCAGCTCTCGCTGCTCCCGCTGCAGTTTCTCCGTCGTTTCCTGCAGGATCTTTTCCTGAGACACCGTCACGGTGTTCTTCACCTTGATCTTCCCCACCAGCGCCTTCAGATCCCCCTGGAGCTTCTTGATGATGCCGTTGGCCTGAGAAATTGTGTCTGTGAGTAGGCTTGCCGCGATAGACGGTGATACCGGTGTTAAGCCGCAACACCGGTTACGTCACTTGCCGAGCTGCTCTTTATCTTTGATCTCCTGCTCTAAGACGGCCACTCGCGTCTGCAGCTGGTTGACCAGACGCTCTTTCTCGTGGCATTCGGTGTCGAGGGTGCTGTTCTCTCTCCTCAACGACAGAACCTGCTGCTTGGACCTCTGACACTCCTGGACAGAGACGCAAATATAAAACATCAGACTTCCTCCTGATTTCCAGACCCCATCCTTCTGAAGAAACCTCGCACCTCTTCCAGGCTGGCCAGTTTGGCTTTAAGGTCTCGAATGGTGGAGTCGCTCTTGTATTTCTTGTCGATGAGCTCTCTGTTAGCCGTTTCCAGCTCGGAGACTTTGGTTTGGAGCTGCTGGGTGCTTCTGTGATGCGACGACTCAAGTTCCTGTCGCAGCTGTTCGTTCTGCTGCTGCAGACGGGCTTGTATCTATTAAATACAATTAAAACAACAAATCAGTGCAGCAAGATCATTACTTTGTGAAGGGTAAAAATTAGAAATAAATACATTTAAAAGTTTTTCTAACACACACACATACAGTGGGTACGGAAAGTATTCAGACCCCCTTCAATTTTTCACAAAAATAAATTTAAATATAAAAAATACCTAAAGATAAAAATAACTAAATATAAATAAAAGAATAAACAAACAAAACAACAACAAAAAGAAAAACAAACAATAATAGATAATAAAATACATTAAGAAATAAGATAAACTCGAAAAAGACAAAAAAATAAAATAAAAATAATTTTAAATCAACTCAAATTCCAATATAAATATCTAAAGACAAAAAAACAATAATACTACAACTAAACTAAACTTAACTAAAACACAAGATAATTAAATAAATATAAAATAAGAAACAAAAAACTAATGAAAATATATAAAGATAAAAAATAAATACAACTAATAAATATGACTGATTGATTGCTATGATGAATTCAACACTGAAATGCCCGTATCAGCCTATGGATGTTGGGTTACCTCGAGAGCTTTTTCACGCTCAGCTGTGAGATCTTGCATGTGTCTGCTGGACAGAGAGGTCGTTTGCGACGTCCATTCAGATCGCAGTTTGTCCAACTCTCGACTTTTCTCAGACAGGGTCTGGAGGATAAATAAAAGTGTATAATAATAATAATAAGTTCACTTCGAAGAGGAATCTAGAATGTGGCTTACTTGCTGCGCATAATTTAGCTGTCTTGTCAGATCTTCCTCAGTCTTTCTCAACGTCTGTTCCAACTGCTGCTTTTCCTCCTGTAAAAACACCCAAAAAGCAAAGACGCATTACAGATTCATTCATTAAAATCAAGCAGGATTACGACATACATATTCTATTTGTAGTCCAAGCCCGTGATGAGTTTCACCTTTACAGTGGACAGACAGGTGGCCAGATACTTCTTAATATCCGTATCAGATCCCGGCAGCAGTTTCAGAGAGAGATGCGTGAGGTGTTTAAAAGCGTTCGTCTCCACAATGTTAAGGTTTGAAGGACTGTGATCGAACGCTGATGAAGCCGACGTGAGCTGCAAGAGAAACCTGAACACAAACAGACAGAAACGGTTCGCACAACCAATACGCATTAACAGGAGATATAAAAGCGATAAAATCGAGATAAACTCTCACCGTGGGTTTTCTTTGTCCTGTTCAAAGATGCACTGCTCAAGCAAGTCGATAAATTTTTGTGGGAATGATGTGAAGTCTATTAAAAGCCCTTGTTGTACCTTTAAACTGTGAAGGAAAGCGAATATTGATTATTACATTGAAAACTGCACACCGAAGTAAAATATTTAAATTAAATATGGACCAATATTATATATATATATATATATATATTAAAAAAAAAAGATCACAATACCTCTGAAAATCTTCCTCTGATATGACAAGGTTGTATAAAAAGTAAAGATCAGTATCATGTGTCAGCCGTACAACCAAATCCTGTTAATAAAAATAAAGTCAAAATACCAAAAAACATTATTTAAATACATAACTAATGATGTATAAATGACAATTTCTCACCTTTCTATGGACAGGATTTGATGATGGCTGCAGTTCAATACTGATACGAATGAATGAACGTCTGTGATTAAAAAAGCATCATAAATAATCACATTTAGACCCTTAAGAACCTCCAAAAACAAAATGCTATAACATACAAAACAATTAATGAATTAACAAACCCAAAACACACATTTAGGTCATATTTATGTTTAAAACACATACATATACAATCGGTTTTACCTCTCATCGGTATCTCTATTCTTCACAAGCACCTGTAACCTCTTGTTAAAAAGTAATTCCGTCATTTCGAGTTCATATAATAACCCCCAAAGCGATTTTAATCATAAAAAACGCGGTTTATTCGTGTTTTACGCTGGTGAATTAATAATTTGCTGGTTTGTTTTCTCGCGCTTCGCTCCCGCGTTTGTCCGTTTCTCACCGGATATGCCGAGGGCCTCAACCTAATCCCGCATATGATCGTATCTCAGCATGTTTATGTTTTTTGAAGATATTAGAAATTAAATACAAAACTTTCAGATTGTGTTTCATCTCTATCTGTGGGTATTTAAAGATGATCAAATTAAACATATTTTCAGTCAAGGTTCACCGGCGCGTGTTGTGATTGGTCGAGAGGCAGGCGTCCAGCGTCAACGCAGAGTGGGCGGGGCGTACAGGAGTTTTGAACATGGCGGTGAGTAGCGCAAACGTTTCCTCACCGTTCACTTTATAAACGCTTCTATGGACGCGTGGCGTTTACAAACAAACACACATATAAACACACACATGTCTTGTGGGCGCTTAAAGTTGAATTTTACACACTAGAGCCAGCTGGTTATTGTAAATGTGATGTATTGTGTTGTGTATTATTGCGCTAAGCTACATGGTCTGATATTATATTATACAGGCCTGTAATATTTTATATATAATCCGTGGTCTTGATTTGCAGGATAAAGAGAAGAAAAAGAAGGAGAGTATTTTTGATTTGTCGAAATACATCGACAAACATATAAGAGTAAAGTTCCAAGGAGGTCGTGAAGGTGAGACAGTTGCTTTATGAGATAAATTAGGGGTTTAAATAATATAATGACATTATATTATGCTTAATTAAGTTACGTTGAATTTAACATTCATTGTTTCCTATTTTCAGCAAGTGGGGTCTTAAAAGGCTTCGACCCGCTGTTGAATCTTGTGTTGGATGGCACCATTGAATACATGCGAGGTAAAATCTCCAGACTGATTGTGAAATAAATAATAAAAAATATATTTTATTTTGAAATTTATTTTAATACATTTTTAGCTATATTTATTTTAATTGTTTATATTTTTATTCTAATCAAACGGTTAATAAGATTCAAGTTTTAATGTTTATTTATTTTAATACAATTTTTTTACATTTTAATCATGATTCCTGATCACACCTTTTTACGCAGATCCTGATGATCAGTATAAACTGACTGAAGACACCAGGCAGCTCGGTCTGGTTGTATGTCGAGGGACGTCTGTCGTGCTGATCTGTCCACAGGACGGGATGGAGGCCATTCCGAACCCTTTCATTCAACAGCAAGATGGATAACATTATGCCTTTTTTTCTTGCATTGTATAGATGTCTGGTGAAGAAAATAGATGGTTTTTGTTAGGTCTGAAATCATGAAAAATACATTTTGTATTTAGACTCAGGATAAGTGTTTTTGGTTGGTTTTGTTTCTGTGGTTTATGAAACTCTCTTTTTGTGTGTGTTGATTATGGTTTGAATTATAAGGCTTGCTTTCTGTTCATGAAAATGGGTGCGTGATGTTGCCCTAGTTCTTTCAGTGTTGTTTTATTAATTTAGACATTAATAAACATCTGGGATGTAACCATTTCTAAATTAAGCAAAAACAAAGATTATGCCTGTACCTCAAGGGTGGATCCCACAGGATTACCTTCTCAGAAGGCTTTTGTACACACACAAACAGTTGAACATTCAGCAAGCTTTCAGTGAACATCTTTGTATAATCTAAATGGAAACTGTATTTTGAAGGTCTTCGGTTCTGAGACACCTTGAGAAAACATTTGTGTTTACCTTTGTGGTGTCGTCTCCTCTGTTTTACACTCGCAAAACTAATTCCTAAGATTAAAGACTCCGTTATGGACCCTTCCCTATTTGGGAGAATGTTTTTCTTAAGAACATGCATACACTTTATTACACTTGCTTACTAGTGGATCCTCTGCAGTGAATGGGTGCCGTCAGAAAGAGTTCAAACAGCTGATTAAAAACACAATAATCCGCAAGACTCCAGTCTTATAAAGTGAAAAAACAAATCCATCATTAAGGTGTTTTAACGTTACCTCTGGCAAAAACATGAGTCTAATCCATAATGACTCTTCCTCCAGTGAAGAAGTCCATCTCCTGTTGTCTTTTCACATCAAAATCCACAAACATTTGTTTAGAACCGTTTCGGACTGTTTTTGCTTGTAAAATGTGATCGATCTGTGCATATTTCTTTCCTGATTCAGATGAGATGACTTTTTCACTGGAAAAAGCAATAAAAATATTATGGATAAAGAACTTGTACTTTAGCCAGAAGCAATGGTTTGAAGTTAAAAATGTCTTAATGATAGATTTGTTTCTTACAAACATGCAGTTTCACTTCACAAGATATTAACTGATGGACTGGAGTTGTATGGATTATTGTGATGTTTTTATCAGCTGTTTGGACTCTCATTCTGACGGCACCCATTCACTGCAGAGGATCCACTGGTGAGCAGGTGACATTTCTCTAAATCTCACAAAGAAACAAACCCATCTACATCTTGGATGGCCTGAGGGTGAGTACATTTTCAGCAAATTTTCTTTTTTGAGTAAACAGTTTCTTTAAAGCATAACAGAAGAACTACTCTCATATACACTCAAATCATGTTTTTCTATAACCTTCACTAAAAGCTTGGAAACAGGGTTTTCCACCAAGAAGAGAGCTTTTTTGATGGATATCAGATTAGCCATTCATGCTTCTTAGCACAGCCACAAAGCCCTGCTTTAAACTTTCGGGATTGACTTTAAGTGGGAAACAGCATGTACATCAATATACTAGTGAGATCCAGTATAGTTTCCACTCTGATATTTAATGCAATACGTGTGTGGTAATTGAGATTTGTTGGTCCCTCCATTTGTGATGGCAGTTTTCTAGCAGTTATGAATGAAGGGCTCAGTGTGTCTTGCCTCACTGGTGCTCTTTTGAACAGCAGGACTTTCCAGATTTTATCAGTGCGCACTGGCACCCAAGTCTGGGCTTTATTGGGTAACACAGTTATAGTGGTTCAGGGTCTGTTAACTGATGGTTAACTTTAGAGGGGTCTGTAAGAGGAGCTGCTGTATGAAGCCACGCCAACTCTTAATACTTATCCAGGTCAGTAGAAGTCTGAGGCATGGTGGGCTAGTGTGGCAAGTTGTATTTCATGTATTTCATTTTGCACAGTAGAGATTAAACCTATGAGGTTAAAAAAAAAGAAAAAATAGGAAATAATTAGGTAAAAAAAAAGTAATAATAAAAATGAATATATAAATAAAAAATAACATTTGACAAACAGATTTATCAGCTAAAATAGCCTACAATCTACAAGCATGAAACATGGGAAAACATCAATGTATAATAAAGTAAGTATATATATATAGAGAGAGAGAGAGAGAGAGAGAGAGAGAGAGAGAAATATATATATAAGAAACATAACAAAGATGAAAAAAATATATAAAAATATATAAGCTGTAAAAAATCTAAATAAAAATGAACAGATATAAACAATAATACAAACTCAGAAGTAGATTTGTTAGAATACATTTTACGAACTAAAAGATATAAAATAAAACAGAATAAGTAATATAAAAAGATACAAATAAGGACATAAACAGAGAAGAGAAAATGACACGAAGCATTTGATAGATAGATAGATAGATAGATAGATAGATAGATAGATAGAAATAAATTTAAAACTATTTGAAGTATAAGCTTCTGGCTTTGTTTTTGATTTTTTTCCCCCCATTTAACCCCTCCTAAGAACAACAACTATTATTTCTCTACATCTCTTAGAAGTCTTAAAGTAATATTGTGAGAAATATTTGAGGATTTTATTATAAAAACAACAGTTTTATATGGACAACGCAGCACCGGCCAATCAAACACGAGATCCCGCCCTCACCTGTGTGAAGCCCCGCCCACCACATAACAGTGCTGCGTTCTATATAGTCCCCAAACGTATCTTGAGGTTTATTCGGACGTCAACGTAAAGATCAGATGCCTCAGTGACCAGATGCTGTCTGAAACGGTGAGTAACAATCTATTAAACACTGCGTAACTAGTTATTGGTGCGTGAACTGTGCCAGAAGTTATTACACACAGTCAGTTTTAATACTCTTTGCATTACTTTGTATCGAGTTCCTCAGAATAGTATTTTTTTAACTGATCTATTTTTATTATGTTAAAAACGAAAATATTATTGTATTGCATTATGTAATTGGTCGAATTGTGATTGCAATTTATTATAGCTATTTTATATTTCACACTATTGCACTGTTTTTTTTCATGCATGCATGCACATAATAATTTTGCAATTTAGGTTTTAAATGGCATATATAGTGAGCATACTCCTACTGTTTTTAGCATGCATTTTTGTAGTTGTTGTGACCTGAAATAATAAGTATTTAATTATTCTATATCATATTTTTTCTTTAATTTAAAATATTTTATCCATTTGATTATATTCTAGATTAATTGGAGTAGGTCTATATTGTATTGTTTTCTCAAGCTGTATGCCAAAACCTGCCTTTTTATTTGATACTGTTGCATCGTTGTTGGCAAGCATGCAAATAATAGTTTTAATTGGCATTTATCATCTGTTTGACCTCGATATATGTAATGAGAGAGTTGTTGTGGCATTTACAACCCTGAAATGAAAAGTAACTATATCAATATATTCTGGAACAGCACGTTTCATATTTCTGTGTTATAACATTTCCGACTCGACAGAGGTTTGGTTTGGCTTCTCGGAACCACTCCTAGTATTGTCTCATTCTATGGTTGGTGAACTAATACTTTGGCATCCCACGAGATGATTTTCAATGTCGGCACCCAAGGGAGTCGCTAATGCTTTTGAGCTCTTAAAAACCCAATCCTGTTTTTACCTGGTCATCTGTCTGTATTTCTTGCCTCCATGTGTTCTTGTGTTTTACAGTTTGGATGTCCAGGTTGTGTTGCAGGTCTTTGTATAGACTGAAATGGAGAAGAAAGACTTGAATAAGTGGCCCGAGGGTGATCCACGGCCAGCTTACCTCTCCACTTGCAAATGTATAACTTTAGCTGCCATACTGATTCTTCTCATCATTGGGGCTGCTGTGGGATTTATGACAGGTGAACTCAATATTTTTTTTTTTATAGTCATTTGTACAAACAATCAAAATATTATGATACTGATGGAAACTTAAACCAACCTTGTTTTCCCTGTTTAGCTTATTTAATACAAGAGGAACATTATTTCATGGAAACAGTGGAATTGGAAGGTCTCAGTTATGATCCAGATCTGCGAGA